TTACAGTTTGTTTTGTGTTGGAGGTGACTGATTGTTCTTTCTCATATTAGGTTCATACCTCCTAGGTCCTCTCCCCCTTACAGCCTTAGAAGCATGGTTCTGATTATTGCTTTTCCCAGATGCTTTGGGCCTACTTCCTCTAGGGTAACCACTATCTGGATCCCTATTTTTGCTCCGAGTTCGATATCTACCTCGAGAAGATCTTCCGCCCTGAATGTGGAAGAAAAAAATATATCAGTAGGGAAAGAAAAAAGATCAAATGATAATAATACAGAAAATAAAAAACTTATCATTCAAGTTGAATATGTACAAAACCTTTAGGTCTTCATAATGCTTTTCTTGCAAATTCATCTCCTTAAATTATCATGTCCCCATTTCCTATCATCTTTGGATTCCCACAATTTCCTTCCACCATGTGTTCGCCTAAAACAGAAAAATCAGGTTGATATACAACTTAGAAACATTTATAAAAGCTTCAATGGAAAAGGCAGGGCAAGGTAATGGCAACGCAAATAACAGTGTAAAGAAAGAAAAAAAAAACAAAGTAAAATACTGAAGATTAAACCCATAAAAATATTAAATCAATACCAGAAATCAAGCACCGGAAACAAAGTCATTGGATTTTTAGTTCAACAGTCTCATTAATAAGGTCAACAGTTGAACTATATGGATAAATCATTGCAAAATATGCACAAGATAATAAACAATCCGAGTCTTTACTCATACATATCAATGAAATATGGGTATAAATAAAGATTTGGAACATAAAAACCTATCGTTACCAAAATTTCATGTGGTTGTCATAGCATTGCCAGTATGGATGAAGAGTATTTGAACATTAGAAGTAAATTTTATAGATAGTTATTATTAGTTAAGATGGCAATTTAGACCCAGAAAGGCTAAAGATTAAATTTTGAATACCTATGACTACCGCCAACATTGTCTCGGAATCTATCATCGTGCATATAAAATGCCCCAGCAGTTGGCACTGCAAATGGCTCATTTTCCTTCTTTTCTTCTTCACCTTCTTCTCCTACAGGATTATTATCATTATTGTTAATCTGCACTCCCTCATCCACATTCCGATTCCCATCAACCACCCCCGCTTCCGTTACATCTTCTCTGTTCCTCTCCACATTCCCTTGCAACTCTCCTTTCCTTACTTCGTCTACCTCCTCTTCATCGAATTCCTCATCCTCTTCATCATACACTTCGTCGTCGTCGTCGTCTAAGTCCAATTCTTCTTCGTCGTCGTCATAATCTGCACCACCGCCATGATCATCTGATTCATCGGAATGAATCACAGCCCTCCAATTCACCCTTGCCTCAGTGTTCTTAGCCTCTTCCCTTTCATCTTCCTCATCGTCACTCGCCGCCTCTCTCTTCCGCATCGCCAGTGACCACTTCGCCTCCTCTGGATCACTCTCGTACTCCACCTCTTCTTCTCCCGTTGTAGCCATCAGGTCCTCGCCAACCAAAACTAACTCGGATAAAACTTGGATAATAAAGAAAACACACTTTGTAACGAAGCAAAGAACAAATTCAAAACCAATACCCCAAACGTCAAATATAAACCAATAACCAAGGAGCCTTGAAATTGAAGGGAAAATTAGATTATATCTTCCAAAGAATGGATCTGGGTGGAAGCGTTATTCAGGAAAACCCTAGACTTTACAGATTAAAAGAGTTTGAGCAAAACTAAAACTCAATGGTGAGAAGAGAGGACTTCGTTTTGTTATGAATGCGTTTTCAGTAGTACTTGAAATGATAGGGTTATTTTGGGAAATTACGTAAGTAACTCACACAAGTCAGACTGGGTTTTGACAGTTGACACACATCTTCTATTCTCTTCGATTACTTACAAACTTTTATTATTCAAAATTCTAATTCGTTTTTTTAACAAAAATCTCTGACCAGTTAATTTCACAGATTAATTACATAGAAAATAACTGAAGAACATATTGAGTAAACTTAGAGATGAACGGCTCGTAAATAGTTTATATAACGTTTGTTTATGTTAATTTATTGAATTAACATAAATTAGTATTAATAAATATTTTATGTTCATCTGATAAATAAACTAACATGAATACATATGTGTTTAACTCATTTATATTCACAAAAAATCTTATTTATTGACTCGTTTATTTTTTATCTCGAAATAGTACACATTATTTTTCTATACATAAAGAAAAATAAATTACATGTGATAAATATACAAATGTATACACGGATTTATTTTGTAGTTGAAATATAGGATCTGAAGCTAAAAGACGATCACAATTTGCAGGGCTCCATCCTATCACTTGTTTCTTATTGTCATATTATCGCCATTCTGTCTTGCATCGATATGTCTCCAATGACATTCAAATTTTGCAGCCCTGCTTGTGTTCCATTTACGATTCCCAAGCAAACATTTCCCTTGTTTGATATTATAAGATAAGCTTCAGGGTGCAAACTGGGTTTTCCTTCTGCCACTATTTGTAAAGGCCAAATACGGTATGGTCTTGAAGTATTTCTAGGCGTCGCGCACGCTTCGGAAAGGCTTCCGACCTTTCCAACATAAGGGGAGTGTCTGGTTCTCCGGAGCTTCCTTTAGCGACCTTCCGCTTAGTTCTTTCTTCAACAACACTGTTAATGCTTGATAAGCCTGAGAATTAAGTGTAAGAGCTGCCGCTGTCGAAAATTACAATGAGGTTTTTAATGGCGGTAGCTTTTCCACCGAAATGTAGTTCCGCGCTTCCCGGGGAGTAGTGTTTTTTGATTACGTAAACTCCTGTGACATTAGTGCCCAAGTGACGTGTGAGGAATCATAGAGACCATCCCCGAAGAAAAGAAATCCGCCGCCTATTCCGGGGAGTAGTATTTTTTTTTACACTTTAAATATAAGTAAAAATATAATTAAATTCAACTCATAGTGAACTTTGAAGTTCAAATTGTGAAGCTTAAAAATTTAAGGACTTGTGATAAAAAATTACCATTTTTCTTTAACTTGCAAATAAAAATATAAAGGTAAATTACAGAAATTGTCACTTTTGTTTTATTTTAATAAACTTCTCCTCACTGAATTAAAAAAATATAAAATTTGATTACTTTCGTTTTATTTTAATTAAGATGTGGTCACTGAAGGTTAATGACAGTTATATTTTTAACAGTTTGCTGATGTGACACAGTAAACATATAAAATTAAAATTACATCATTTACATGTAGATAATGCATGAATTAAATTTTGGCCACTTTCCTTTCATATTTGTACATTTTTGCTCACTAAATATAAAAAGCATAAATTTTAATCACTTACGTTATTATTTTATTAAGTTTTGGTCACTTACGTTATCATTTTATTAAGTTTTGGACACTTGTATTTTGAATGTCGTTAGTTTACTAACGTGATTCATTGGTAAAATGGTTTAATTTTTATTTTAACTCCTACAAGTTAGATAAAATATCGATTATGTGTCTTTTTGTAAATTCAAATTAGTTTAGGGATAACATTTTAATTTATCCATTTTTAATAGGTTTTCTTCTCAACCCCATTGTTGTTCCTTCTCTCTGCTTCTTCAGACATCTCGGCTCCATTGCTCCACTTGCCTTCTTTCAAGGAATCATGCTGGATTTTAAGAATAATGAAAGATTTCAAACTTTCCATAACAAATAATAACACCATAAGTTCAGAGAAAATGAAGCTAAGTAATCTCAGTTATACAAACTTAAATTCAATTTCTAAATATTGATATTGCATAATGTCAAATCCAACAAGGAACAAAAAGATAAATCAACGGATCCAAAAAACCCGATAACTGGATATCACTATTTGTGGTATTTTCCCTTGAGAAAACGCTTCTGATGAAACTTAATCAATGGATCCAAACCATCTGATAATTGGATCTGTGAATTCATCCATTTAACTCAATCCAAAATCTATGATCTTCAACGTTGAATATTTGTTTTTGCTCAAGAACAAGTAATTTTCCGATTCTAGATCCCTATGAATCATCGTTAACCCCTACGACATGTGCGATCTGTCGCACCACCACCACTGCACCAACCTTCAAGTACCTTATTTCCACGTCATGAAGGTATATCATGTTCGGATGCAACGAACATTCTTGACGACCTTTCACATCACGAGGATTTCATTGGTCAACAATGCACCGGAGATGGAAACCTGGTATTGTGTCATCAATAACGTCGTCATTGAAGAATTCTAGTTTTCTCAGCTCGAGGCAGTGGCATCGTGGTTGTGGTGAATCTTTAGAGTTTTAATGGTGAATTCTCTGCATTTTTCACGATCTTCATTACTTCTTTTTATACATTTTCTTACAATTGAAAACTCACCTAATTTGACTTTAAATAATTACAACTAATAATTGGAAACAAGAAGGTTGTTGCAATGGAACAGAGACGTTTGAAGAAGAAGTGGGGAGGAGATGGGTAATATTGGGGGTTGGAGAGAAAATATATATAAAAAAAAGATAAATTGAAATGTTGTCCCTAAATTAATTTGAATTTACAAAAACACACATAATCAGTATTTTATCTAAAATTTAAGGGTTAAAATAAGAATTAAACCATTTTACTACTGGATCATGTCATCAAATTAACATCATTTAATGTCCAATGACCAAAACTTAATAAAATGATAATGTAAGTGATCGAAACTTAATAAAACAACAACACAAGTGACCAAAAGTGTACAAATATGAAAAGAAAGCGACTTAAACTTAACCCATGTATTATCTACGTGAAAATGATATAATTTTAATTATATATATTTACCGTATCACGTAAGGAAATCCTTAAAGGTTTAATGTCCGTTAACCTTCAATGACCACATCTTAATTAAAATGAAACGAAAGTGACCATGTCTATAATTTATCCAAAGATAAAATTGAACATATGATTGAGAACGTTAAACGAATATATCCACGACCGCTAAACAAACAGAACTAGAACAGTTTCAAAAATGCACTAACCCTATTCTTCATATTTGGGACAGCACCCTGACTATGGACACATTCAGGTCAAAGTGCTCCATTCCAGGTCACTTGCATTCACAGTGTAGAATCAGCTCAGAATTCGACTCTCATCTCAAAAGAAAACTCCTGCCCTCGCTGCAGAACCACTTCCCTTGATCTTAGAAACAATATAAACCCCTCATGTGTTGAAGAGGGAAGAGCTTCCAATCCCTTTTTTATTTTAATAATCATGTTTTAGAAGTTTCTTAAGCGTGTAATTTCAAATTATTGTCCGAAAATGCAAATTTTTGGTTATGTAAGAACTCGACATGCCAGATTCATGTGCTATCTATGGGAAATTCAAATTTAATATTTGCAATTTTCTTCATATCTTCAACTTGTGTGCCCTCACGTATCAATTAGTTTCTTCAAATTTTTGTTTTATGTTTCACCTCAGTGCGTTTTATGTTTCAACTTAGACAAGTTTCTTAAGTTTTTTTTAGGACTGAATGCCTCAAAGAATATGCTAAAACCTTAGACAAGTAACTGAAATCATAATTTGAAAGCTAACCGAATAACTTGTATATGCTCCATCCCAAAATTCAATGTGCTTGCAAGATCCAACTCATCGGGAATGCAAAGACAATCAGCAATTATATTTCACATCTTTCTAGCTTCTAGTTTGAAATCTGCTGGTTAATAAATAAGTTAATACGCTAACGATGATAAAAAGGAGCCACAGTTGGTAAATAATTACTAACGGCCTAAATCTATTCCAGAATGATTAGAAACAAATCATAAGTATCTCCACCATTAAAATAAAAGTTCTTTGAATGGAGAGATTCACTTCTAAAGGACAATATGCTCACTGCCCTGACCGAAACTAGGTCATGGTTCAAGTGAATTGCTAATCGGCACGGTTAATAATTCTCTCCTTGGAGAAAAAATAGTAATAGTAGTAAAAGCAAAAGTTTTTCACCTTAAGTACATGCTGAATGGAGCTCAAACTGAGTGTCTTCATAAAACCTAGTGATCTGGTGTAAGCACTGCCAACACGAGGGAAAACAGTAAAATGAATCAGGGGATAACAGAACAAAAGAACTACCACAAACACATAAAAAAGAATATAACAAAATTTAAGACTTGTTAATGTCTTAAGGATTTCAGAGTGCAAAAATAAACATTAATAATTTGATGTTAGAATGCAAAAATTGGTTGCACAAACGCTAATTAGATAAGAGCAGTTTACAGGGAAGAAGGGATCAGAAACCGGTGGATGAGCATCATATTAGTCAATATTAATAGGCATCAGATTAACTAGTTCTTTCCCAAGTTTGGGACACCAAAGTTGTCAATACGAATAAAGGTGATATCAGCGATCACCAGAAAACATGTATCAAATTCCAAATAGTGAGTGAGATGAAAACAATTCAGCAAACATGTTTCGAAGTCGGAGGTAGGTGTGTTCAATTAGTTGTTGCAACAAAACAAATCACAAAACAGAAAGATAAGCCCACAAGAGAGTGGTTAGAAATGGCATGTTAGAACAATTAATCACCAGAGACAATTTTGATTTTCACACTGCCCCACCCAATTGCTTTTAGGCTGATGGGGTTCCTTCAGTATTCGTACCCCACTCTTCTTCCTTGTTACCATTAACGAGTACTGCGCCATCATTAGAATCAGCATCTACAACAACAGGCTCCTCTTGGCTACCATCTTCTCCATTCTGCTCTGCGTTTTGACCATGCCCATTCAGTCCTGCAGCCTGTGATGCCCACCAAATAAATGACAGAATAAAATCAAACCAGACTCCTGAACCACTCAAAGCAATTTCTATGTTTAATATGTTCCAACTTCAAAGAAAAACAGATACATATGGATTCTATACCTCATAATCAAGTTCACCATTTCAAGAGGCTCGTCATCCTCGATTTGCATGCTTCTGAAAGCCTCCACAAGTATCAACTTCGATCTATCAGCATGATTCAAATAATCCGCTGCAGGAGGATAAACACCGCTGAAAACCAACTCAAAGTAAATAGCATATCCACGTGAGACAGAAAAACAGGTATGTCAACCGCAAGGCTTTGCGATCAACGGTCAGACAAATTATAGAGCAATCAATTTGCACCAAACCAGTGGAATTAATAATGTTCGACAAATATTGACTAGAAAACAGTAACAAATTACAATATATAAAAGAAAGGAATCATGTTTGATACCTTGTTTCTGCCACTTTGGATACAGAAAGAGAAAGTTCCCAATCTTCAAAAAAAAAAGGACAAGATTGTTTTTTTAGCCTTAAGATGTAAAGCACTTGCAAAAAAAGGAATCGGGTAATTCTAGGAATCTTCAGGCTGTCTTTTCTTGCTAGGGCAGGGATGTATTTGGGGTTTGTTGTAATCCTTGTAACTTAGGGATTTTATCCTTTTATTAATAAAATCTAAGGTACTCTTTTAACCCTTCTGTTTTTTGCCGAATTCTTATGAATTTAGCAATTATGAAGGGGTTTTTTTTAATGAGAGACTCCAATTCTTATAAAAAGAAAGAAAGATGTAAAGCACTATACACAGAACTTCATACCGATCTTTTCCAGGAAAGTATCAAGATGTTTTATAATATTTACTGTTATCTTGTACAAAGGGAAAGTATGGAAAGGAAAAATAGAAGGCAGAGGACGAGGAATAGTGCTTGTCATTTTTATTAGACATGCAGTATTTTGAATTTTGAAATACTTTACAGGAAATCAAACGAGAGAAACAAAACAAACCAAAGCTTATGCATGATACAGCTAACCCAGCACATCAAGAATAAAGCATGAAGAAAACACCGGAGAAACAAATAATGGCAACTAACCCTGTTGAGGTCTTTTCTCCAAATTGCTACCATCTCTGAAACTTTGCTTGGAAGATAAGATCGTGCCATCAAAGCAGCCTCTGGTATCCGATTGCTGCAATAGGAATATTTCAATATATCCATAAATATAATAACATGTATGGCAGTCAATTATTCCAGGAACTTGATAATGAATTACCTTTCCAACAAAAGCTGAAGGCAATCCTCCAATTTACCCAACACGAATAAACAAAGAAAAGCTACATTGTTCTTCCCTTGTTCTTTGGAAAGAGATGGAAGTGTTGCTATTCCTTCAGCATCTCCCAGTGAGGAATAAAGTAACAATAAACCGCTCAGGTCCATTGCATGCTTCATGCATTGTTCAGCCAGTTCTAGCTGCAATGACAAGTTTAGAATAATTAATAGAAAAACTTCAAAAACAAGGAGAGAAGGCATTATTGTCTAAAACTAACAATATATAAGACATGCCCATGCATTAAGCTTGATTTACAAAAACAGCTACTGCATAAAACTAAGAAAGTAAGACGAGGCTTTTGTACATGCATTCACCAGTTAATAAACTACAGAGACAAATTGAGAAATAATTACTGAAAGGAAGGTATTACCATAGATCAAAACAAATTCCAATCACTAGGGATGTGGATATTCAACATGAATGATTAGCACAAATCAAAAGTCCAAATTAAGAGGGGTGAAGGAAAAGGAAAGGAGAAGAAATACATCCTACAAATCAAAAGTCCAAATCAATTTTTCGATTTTAGATCCCTATGAATCACCGTTAATCCCTACGACATGTGCGATCTATCGCACCACCACCATCGCGCCAACCTTCAGGTACCTTATTTCCACGTCATGAAAGTAGATCATGTTCGGATGCGACGAACATTCTTGACTACCTTTCACATCACGGGGATTTTATTGGTCAACAATGCGCCGGAGATGGAAACCTAGTATTGTGTCATCAATAACGCCGTTATTAAAGAAACTCTAGTTTTCTCAGCTCGAGGCGGTGGCATCGTGGTTATGGTGAATCTTTAGAGTTTTAATGGTGAATTCTCTGCATTTTTCACGATCTTCATTACTTTTTTATACATTTTCTTACAATTGAAAACTCACCTAATTTGACTTTAAATAATTACAAGTAATAATTGGAAACAAGAAGGTTATTGCAATGGAACAGAGATGTCTGAAGAAGAAGTGGGGAGGAGATGGGTAATATTGGGGGTTGGGAGAAAAATATTAAAAAAATGGATAAATTGAAATGTTGTCCCTAAACTAATTTGAATTTACAAAAAGACACATAATCATTATTTTAAGAGTTAAAATAAGAATTAAACCATTTTACTATTGAATCACATCATCAAATTAACATCATTTAATTTCCAAGTGACCAAAACTTAATAAAATGATAATGTAAGTGATCAAAACTTAATAAAACAACAACGCAAGTGACCAAAAGTATACAAATATGAAAAGAAAGTGATTTAAACTTAAACCATGTATCATCTACGTGAAAATGATATAATTTTAATTTTATATTTTTACCGTATCACATCGGCAAATCCTTAAAAGGTTTAATGTTCGTTAACCTTCAGTGACCACATCTTAATTAAAATGAAACGAAAGTGACCATGTCTATATTTTATCCAAAGATAAAATTGAACATATGGTTGAGACCGTTAAACGAATATATCCACAACCGCTAAACAAACAGAACTAAAACAGTTTCAAGAATGCACTAACCCTGTTCTTCATATTTGGGACAGCACCCTGACAATGGACACATTCAGGTCAAAGTGGTCCATTCCAGCGCACTTGCATTCAGTGTAGAATCAGCTCAGAATTCGACTCTCATGATCTTAGAAACAATTTAAACCCCTCATGTGTGGAAGAGGGAAGAGCTTCCAATCACTTTTTTATTTTAATAATCATGTTTTAGAAGTTTCTTAAGTGTGTGTATTTTCAAATTATTGTCCGAAAATGCAAATTTTTGGTTATGTAAGATCTCGACATGCCAGATTCACGCGCTATCTATGGGAAATTCAAATTTAATATTTGCAATTTTTTTCATATCTTCAACTTGTGTACCCTCACGTATCAATTAGAAAATTTCAGGTTTGATTTGATGTTAACTTCACCCATTGAAAATGACAAATATGGTACACCTATGGTAAACGCCCAGCGCGGTTCAGATTGAAAATCACGCGTTTTATGTAGATATATGTTTTTACGGTACAAGTTTCAAGCTGACTAGAGGAAAAACCAATCCCCAAAAAACCCAACCACAAGATTCAACGCCTCAAGTGGGGAACCAAAAAAATAGTACCTAAAGTTGAAACATAAAATGCACTGAATGGGTTTTTTTTAGGACTGAATGCCTCAAAGAATATGCTAAAACCTTAGACAAGTAACTGAAATCATAATTTGAAAGCTAACCAAATAACTTGTATATGCTCCATCCCAAAATTCAATGTGCTTGCAAGATCCAAATCATCGGGAATGCAAAGACAATCAGCAATTATATTTCACATCTTTCAAGCTTCTAGTTTGAAATCTGCTGGTTAATAAATAAGCTAATACGCTAACGATGATAAAAAGGAGCCACAGTTGGTAAATAATTACTTACGGCCTAAATCTATTCCAGAATGATTAGAAACAAATCATAAGTATCTCCACCATTAAAGTAAAAGTTCTTTGAACGGAGAGATTCACTTCTAAAGGACAATATGCTCACTGCCCTGACCGAAACTAGGTCATGGTTCAAGTGAATTGCTAATCTAATTCTTTCTCCTTGGAAGATAAGATTGTGCCATCAAAGCAGCCTCTGGTATCCGATTGTTGCAATAGGAATATTTCAATATATTCATAAATATAATAACATGTATGGCAGTCAATTATTCCAGGTATTTTTTTTATAGGAAGTGGAAGCCCAATTAAAACCCCCCTTCATAATTAATGGAACACGAAACGATGTTCCTTAATCAGCGGAAGGAGGAAAAAAGTGCCTTAAAATTCATTAATATTAAAAGATTACATAAAGATAAAACTTACAAACCCCTTACAATAACAACTCGACCACACCACGTGCCCAGTAAACAACACCCAGTAAAAGATTACAAAAAGTTAAGACAAACAGTACCCAATAAACATATTTTAATCCTGCCCATACTAGTGCTCATGCCACCCACGTGAAGATAGCTGATGCCCATACCATTTTGATGCGTCCCAACACCCAACGCCCAGCAGCCCTGCATCCCACTTGCAGGTCGATTCCCCATCATCCATGCCCTGCTGCTCCACGAGCACACAAAACAACAGCCGAGCAAACCAAAACCCATCCTATACCTTGCTGCCAATTACACATTTACCAACAACTCTAAATAACTAACCAGACAAAAAGCCAAAAATTGGCCCGAAATACAACACAATACAACTGTAAAAAAAAGCCAAATATAATAGTGTCAATCAGCCACTAATTACTCAACTTGACATCGGAGACCATCCAAACCTCCAACTCCAAACTCAAATCAAATTCGAGCCCCCAAAAATTGTTCACTACAAATTGTATCTTACAATCCTTCCATCGATATATTGTTCCGAAATCAGAAACACTCGTGAGCCTTTAAGTTTAGACACATCTTCCTCTCGTTGCACCTTACTCTGATTGTTCTTGCATCGGTAGCCTTGAGACTTCCGTTAGGGAGCCTTAATATTCTCTTGAAAAGTTTGGACGGAGCTATATTTGTTGTCAAAACCCTCCTTAGGTCTCTTGTTCTGCCTGGCCTTACCCTTGGGGTTTTTGAATGCGCAATTATTCATAAGGCCCTCATTAAACTCATCCTCTACCACCTTTGACTCACCTCGACCATCCGACATGGGAAAATCTTTAAAATAATCCTTCGAACCCTCAAAAGCAAGTGCAAGCTCACAACTTTTCATGTAGACATCTTCTTTCTCTCTTGCCGCGTGAACCAACAGTTCATCGTTTGAAATGCCCATAATACTCCCATCCTCCATCTCCCTTGACACTAAACGACCATCCAGGATGGGAAAATCAATTAAATAATCCTTGATCCCCTCATTAACACGTGCAAACAAACAACTTTCCTTATAGACATCCACTGCCTCTCTCTCCGCGTGTGCCAGCACTGTCTCGTGTTCCCCCACTTCCTCAATTTGCAATTGAAACATCCTCTGACCTGCAACGGTACTCCTCAGACCCATCATCGTATCCTCACCTATGTTCCTATCCTCATCGCCCTCACCTGACAATAGGCTGCCACAAGTACTACTCCCCATACAACAAAAAACACTGTCATCTTTCACATAACACCTCTCGGGAATCTTTACCTCTGATGAGATCTCGTTTCTTCCTTCTTCCTCAACGCAAACCTCCAACTCGGGATACTTAACTGGGGAGACACCAATGAGCTCCCCCACCTTGGATAATGGGGAGGCATATGCCTCTTCCATCGAAGACGAATCAATCCAGACAGATTCTAGGCTGAAACACGACTCAAACTCGGAAACATGCACTTTGAAGAGTCTATCCCCGAATTTCAAAACAATGAATTATTCCAATCGAGCTTGACTGTTCGTGATGATCTGAAGCAAAGCCCTATCAAAAGAGCCATTATTTAAGGTCCTTTCCTTAATGGATATAAGAACTCCCCATTTGAGTGTAATATTTCTGAAGGTGGAGAGACTCCACACAAACGGAGGGATCCCTTTGCACGAAAGCCATGCCCGACGGTTGCTGCACTTAAAATCTTCCGACCAAACTTCCACTCTGTCGAAACATTTATTCAACGCCCCAATTTAATTATGTAGAGTAAAGTCCCTACTCTCTGCATCTTCAAATAAGATTAAAATTGCAAGCCCGCTTAATCTCATAATCTTCGTACCAACAATGCCTTCCTTGTGCAAAATAGCAGCCAACTTTTTCATCTTAATAAAATTTCTGCACCATCCTACCAAGCTGTCTTTAAGAGTTGAGAGCTTATCCTCGTCAACAGAACAAACAATGGGAGCCTCAGTATGACTAGCATCCTCCACTAAACTCTTGCCCACGACTGGATATAGATCATAGAACTTCTTCCTCCAGAAAACATCACAAGGATGATATCTCGCCATAAAAACTCTAACTTTGTTACCTTGAATCCAAGATCTATCAACACAGTTGATAGCCTTTCTCGCGTCCTCCAGTCTGGTGAAACTAACAAAGCCAAACCTACTACATCCCTTACTTCTTTTATTAGGGATGAAAGAATCTACCACCTCGCCATATTTATCGAAAAATAACCAGAGGCCTTGGTGATGAAGACACTCAGGAATGTTAAAAATGATCACTGTGACACAATTTTTTCCAACTGATC